TGTATTGTGCTGTTTAGTGTATTGCTCAACCATCCTCGAAAATGGCATATTCATCTAGTTTGTGTGGCATTAAAAACCCAAATTCTATTTGTTACAAATAACTTCTTGACTGTGAAGAGGCTGCCTGTTTAAATATTTGCACGGTCTAAATTAATTGTTGGCCCACCCCTCTGCTTTCCTTGAAAGCTAGTCAAGCATGTGCCCTTGCACACCAGTGCACGACACCTGTATTGTGCTGTTTAGTGTATTGCTCAACCATCCTCAAAAATGGCATATTCATCTAGTTTGTGTGGCATTACAAACCCAAATTCTATTTGTTACAAATAACTTCTTGACTGTGAAGAGGCTGCCTGTTTAAATATTTGCACGGTCTAAATTAATTGTTGGCCCACCCCTCTGCTTTATGAACTCATAGTTTGGTCTTTTCCTCTGGTAGTTAAAAGTTAGACAAAGGAAGGTGAACTTCAGTAAAATATGTATCACTTTATGTTACTGCTCTCCACCTAACTCTGGAAAATGTCTTGGGACATTTCTCTGTAGGGAGAAGAGAACGAGTTTTTAATTTTATCTTTGTATGGCAATGATCCGTGCTATGTCCCACTACTCTGTATAATTAAGGCGAGCTGTATGTTTCCTAGTGATGCAGCCTATAATCACTGGTTCTGGTATCAGTTCTCACTTAACCTAGGGTAAAATAAAAATAGAAAATGGGTCATTTTTCACCTTCTTCTACTCAATTCTAGTTAGATTTTTTAAAGCTACTATAAAATATTTGTACAGTATTTTCATCAGTAGTGTGTATCACTGCTACTTCCAAGTAGAAAAGAATTCCTTCCTCATTGAGCCATGCCCTGGAATCCTATCACATGCAGTTGGCCATGTACTATGTATAATTTTATATTCTCATTTCATTTGTATATTTTGTAGGTACTTTGGCACTTGAAAAATATAGTACATTTGGGGTAAGTTGTAGAAAATATTTATTACTGCTAACTGAATCTCCTGTTCCCTATTTGAGTGTTTGATGATTTTATGAATGGTCAACTCTCTCCTCATCTTTCCAGTTATATTTTATTGTTCCACATCCCAAACCTGTGGCCATTTTTTCTTGTGTTCAACAACCTGAATCATATATTGTGAATCAAATGGACGTGGTGGTTCAACTTCTACTTTAAGTAGTACTGCAACTAAACCACCTGAGTAGTCTACTTGTAAATTCCTCTAGGAAGGGAAATTTCATGATTTGGCTCAAATGAAACTTCCTCTCTTAGGAAAGCTTTCTTTATTTCCTCCTTCTCGAATCATTTTCTGCTTTCCATTGTGCTTTTGGTGGTTCATTCATTCATTAGTTCATCCAACGAATACTGAATAACTTTTAATCAATGTCTTTACAAGCTGAAAACATGATCTTTGTTTCCCACTCTATCTTCTGTGAATATATGTTGAATGTATCAAATAAATACTTTGATAAAATATACTTTTATAGCTGCCATCACTAGTGCTCGAATTGTTGCTAAAATTCTTCTGCTGGAAATCAGTTTGTAGTGTGACTGCTGGGACCTTTTAAAGTGGGTGGTAATACTATGATTTGTTTCATTAACCTTCTATGTACTTGTAATGAAGATAAATTACATTTATAATAGAAGCATAAACTTTATTTTTAAAGTGGTTTATTTTTAAAAGATAAAATGCTTGTATGCAGTTGTAATCAGATAACTCCTGATTTCACCCTTTTTTAGACAAGTCACTTGCTTTTTTATTTTTCCACATAGATCTGATACGAAAAGATTTTAAAACATTGCTGTAGCTTTCTGGTGAGGTCTCTTCACATTCTCAAACTCTTTCTAAAGTTGTAGAGCAGGGGAATAAATAGTATTGGAGTAATACACTGTCTAATACCAAAGAAAAATACATTTTTTTTTTTTTTACTCCAGTTTCTTCTCAGAGTATGTAAGTACCAATCGGGACTTATCCTTTCAAAGTTCTGACCTCAGAATTTCCCGAGAAATGTGAACCTAAAGGAATTCTTTGTGTCCATCTTCTTTTCATGGTTTTCATTCTAAGGCTACTGTTTCTAGGTTTTTACATTTCAAATGGAAGATCATAGAGTCATACAGTCTCAGCACTGGAAGGTCTACTGAGGTCACCTAGGGCAGATGCTTTCTGGGTAATTGAATCCCTTTGGGGACATGCCTGTAAAGTCTTCGTCTGGCCTATTCTTGGAAGCCTCCAGTTTCCTGCGGTGGCAGCTTCTATCTTTGTAGTCAGCTCTGACTATTATAGACCGCATTCCTGTATTGAACTGTAACTAACTACCTGTAGTTTCCACACACGGCTTCTATTTTGGCTTCTTGCTGTAAAGAACAAGTTGAACGCGTCTTATACAGTAGAGCCCGTCCAAGGGCGATGCTCATGTTTCCTCTAAGTCTTCCTTTTGTAGGCTAACCCCTCTTTGTTTCTCACTTGTTCTCCATGTACCCTGATTTCAGTTCTCAGCATTCTAGTTATTCTAATCTGAATAGATTTATTTTTCTTATGTATACAGCAACCAGCACCGGGTGTGATGGTTCAGGGGTGTTGTGATAAACTGACAGTAGAGTGGGATTATCATCTCCCTTAATTCAGATATTACAATCTCAGCACATCTGGCAATGAAATGGTTAAAATGCCCGCCTAAGGACAATGGCTGCTCAGGTACCACTGTTCTCATCTTTTACTTCTAGCTGTCCCTAAACTTGTCAACTTTGTATCTACATAACGGATAAAATTAAAAATCTCTGTTTAACTGAAAAGAAAACGAAACTTTATATCAGACCTGGGATTTACAAGATCCTTACAAATTAGTTCCAACATGCTTCTGTGTGAGGTGTATGCAAAGTGCTTAAAACACATGGTAAGGGCTCGATGCGTATTCATGATAATAATAATTTTTACTATTCTTATTATTAATTATTCCAAGAGTTCTGAGACATGCTTGTTTTTAATTCAATTTAATTTAATTTTTAAGATATTTATTATTTTTATTTATACATATTTATGGGGTACAGAGTTGACTATCAGTATTTGTGTACAGTCTGTGATGATCAAATCAATATTATTAGCATGTTAATCATTATAAACTGTAATTACTTTTTGTGTGGTTCTTTTCCAATTACTGTCTCTCCCTCCCCCCTCACCCCCTTTCACACCTCTAGTAACTATAGGTCTATTCTCACCTTTTGAAAGTTCAACGTTTTATTATGGTTTTTCTTTCATTCTTTGTTTCTTAGCTCTCACTTATGAGTGAGAACATGCAATATTTCTCTTTCTGTGCCTGGCTTATTTCACGTAACATGATTTTCTCCAAGCTCATCCATGTTGTTGCAAATGGCAGAATTTCATTCTTTTTTATAACTGAGTAGTATTCCATTCTGTATATATACCACATTTTCCTTATCCAGTCATTCATTGATGGACATTTAGGTTGGTTCTCTCTCTTGGCTATTGTAAATAGAGCTGTGATAAACATGGGAGTGCAGGTCTCCCTTCTACGTGATGATTTCAATTCCTTTGGGTATAAATGCAGAAGTGGGATTGCTGCATCATATGGTAGTTCAATCTGCAGTTGTTTGAGAAACCTCCATACTGTTTTCCATAATGGCTGTTCTAATTTACAATCCCACAAACAATGTAGAGCAGTTCCCTTTTCTCCACACCCTTGCCAGCATTTATTATTCGCAGTCTATTTGATACTAGCCAGTCTGACTGGGGTAAGATGATATCTCAATGTGGTTTTGATTTGAAGAGAAATGCTCACTTTAATACTGAGCAAATAGGAATGGTCAATGGCTCTTGTATTCTTTAGTGTCATTTAATATATCTAATCTAGACCTACAAGAATAAAAGTTACATAAATGTATAAAATTCACAGCCACACATTTTTTCCGAGACCCTTGACAAATTAGAACAAAATGGGAAAAAGTTCTCACACTAGTTACTCATTTTTTTACAAAGTGATAGAAGAGGTGATATGTTATAAAGAATGTTTACTTCTCATGTCTTTAATATTAAAAATAGTTGTATTTGCTTTTTACCAAAATAATTATTTCCTTCATATAAATCTAAGAACTGCTGCTGTCCAACAGATTTTGGAGAGATTAACTTTTTCAAAAATATGGAAGCTTGTGTTAATTCTTGTCTTTTCAAAATATTTGTTTTTGCTGACACATTTTAGCCCCCATCATGGCCTTTTTCAGGCTAAGATGCTGAGCTGAAACCTTAAAGAATCGCAGCAAAAACATTGGATTCCCCCCTCTCCACCCCATCCCGTAATTTAGTCAGTGAAAACCACAGCTGGGTAAACCTTTGGGGAAGTAAACTACTTTGTGGAATTGGGTCAACTCCTGAGGTGATGAGGTGCAGCTTAATAGCAGTGACAGACTTACCAAGCACCTCTGGGGTCCAGAGGCTGTGACATACATTTTGGGTAAGTCGTTCTTCTTTAGTGTCATCCATTAAGAGGACTACTTGGGTGACCAAGAATGTTTACTAAAAGCTTTTAAAAATGGCCTTTTAATTTACTTTAAAAGAATATTCATAGCAGAAGCAACCTCTGATGCTAAAACATATTTCAAGCACACCTAATTATTATAATTCTGTTCTTTTTATGCCATGTTACACACACACACAATCTCGTGATGTATCGCAGCTAGCTTGTACTGGCTCACAAAAGCCTACTGTTAAATTTTCAGGAGTTTTGTAAGTCACTTGATGTCAGACAGTTGTCTTGAAATTTTTTATGGTGGCAGTATTTACACCATGGAAGTTGGCAAGTGCTACAAATCAAAGCCTTTTTCTTTTTCTCTTGGACAGCCAGTTGTTAATCACTTATCAGCTCACCTGTGCCCCAAAGTATTTTTTAAAATAAAATAAAAGTTTATGAACTTTGAAGACAGTTTTTATATGAAAGTTTACATATGAAAATAAAATAAATTAATAGCCTTTTTCCTCTGTGTTTTCAGGGATACGGAAAGACCGAAGAGGAGGGAGAATGTTGAAACACAAGCGCCAGAGAGATGATGGGGAAGGCAGAAATGACATGGGGCCCTCTGGGGAAATGAGAGCTTCCAATTTTTGGCCAAGCCCTCTCTCGATTAAGTACACTAAGAAGAACAGCCCAGCCTTATCGCTGACAGCCGATCAGATGGTCAGTGCCTTGCTGGATGCTGAGCCCCCCATACTCTATTCTGAGTACGATCCTACCAGACCCTTCAGTGAAGCTTCAATGATGGGTTTACTGACCAACCTGGCAGACAGGGAGTTGGTTCACATGATCAACTGGGCAAAGAGGGTGCCAGGTAAGAATGCTAAGCTCAACTTTCATTTTCGGAGTCAATAACTTTTCAATAACTGGTTGCAATTGTCATGGAAGAAATAGTGGTAGAAAAAGACACAATAGCTTGTTATCTAATGGGTTTCGAGGTTACATCAGAATTTGTTAATGTTTGGTATAAATACACTGTAATTCTTCTGGAGATTAGGAAATAATATTTTAAAATAAAAATAGAGAAGACTAAAATTCTTAATGTGACATAGTTTATTTACTTTTAACCTACCTAATTCACCAAAAAGATTTGGGGTGGACACTACATGTTAAATGTACTTCATATTATATGTTCACAGTGTCAGCAATGTTTAACACTAAATGATTTACAAAAGTTTTTAATATTGAGGACTTTTTTTTTCAAAACACCTCAATTATTAGTAAACAATTTTACCTTAAAAATCCCTTCTTTTGAGATCTTTATGGACTAAAGAGATAATAGGTTTATTTACTGAATGCCAGTTATTTATCTGACCTGGTTTATCCATAGTAACTTAGGAGAAAAGGAAATATAATAGGTAAAATAATTAGGGTCTCATCCCTGAGAGAAGCTTGTAGAAAGTAACAGTGGCTGAAGTGACACTTTGGTCCTTCGGTTGATTCTCTCAGAACTGATGTTTCTGTAAAACTTGACTTTGCTCTTGTCGTTCAGGGAGAAGAACTCTAGTTATTATGGAAACAAGACTAGAAAATGACCTCCTCCATGCCCCAACATATCCATTCAGGAGCTAACGTAGATGAATCAAGGCAAGAGGAAGTTAAATCTTTTTTCTGGGCTTGTAGATCAAATGAATGATGGATTTAGATAGAGATTTTTTTGTTTGGTTTCTTTTAATAGATGAAATTAATTATTACCTATGAAGTGTGGCATGTTTTTATAAAACTCAAAATGTGGAGTTTTGTGTTTTGCATTTCAAAGGTCACTGAAATGTTATAGGTTAAGTGAACATATGTCTGACCTTAGAGTATCTTACATGTATTTGCATGTATCAACATGTAAACATGTGGTCCTTTGAATAAGGAGGCAGCAGTCCTGTGTTCCACACTTGTTAGAGGGCATGTGTTTAGGTGATTTGGATGGTGCAGACTGGCCTACATGGAAGCATGGGGATTAAAAGGCAAATTTGGGGTTTAGGGGTCAGTACAACTGACAAACAAAAACTCTCAGCCATCTTTGGAATTAATTTTATGGAGCAACTACATATTTTAGCATTCTTATGTGAAATAGGTACATTATAAATTAATATTGGAATCTAAATGTAATATGGCTATAGGTTTTTACTTATAATCTTTTTATCTGTTGTTGCCTTGTTTTTATGCTTTGGGAGAAGAAAAACAAACAAACAAAAATCTAATGGTTCTATTCACGAGAGCCAGTTCTTGATTGCTATTAAATTTTATTGTCTTGCAAGCATATATCTTCCCTCATAAAATCTTGGCAATATTAGTTCCAGAGCACTGCTAAACTCAAGTATGTATTTTTCATATTTATCAGTAGATCACTATCATGAAATTTATATAATTATAAAAATATGAAGAATATTTGAAACAACTGGAATTAAGTTCAAATACATTACTAGTGTATAAAGAATTCATGGCAATAGTCTTCTGAAATTAGGAATAAAATGGAGACAGTAATCAAGAAGGAAAATATTATGCCCGTACTTAGCCATTCCATTCATTGTTAAAACCAGAACTAAGCAAATTTATGGTAATGAGATGTGTAGCAAAACCATTCTCTAACATCATTATGTTACTTTCGAAGACCTGAATGACTCAAAAATCCTTGGGTCAGGCTATATCTTGTTACTTGATCATTTTTACAAAAAGAATTATAAAGGCAAAAATGAAATTGTGTGTGTGTGTGTGTGTGTATTGGACTGCAGCTGTTGTAAATCAAAAGCCTACTTGTCTGACCAAACAGAATAAAAATAGTTCATTGATTTGAAAAAGATGAAAAATGAAAGAACAAAAAAGTCTTCTGGAGAAACTCTGAAGATGGGGGTCCAGCTTTTCAAAAAAATTGACAAAGCCACATTTAGTAAGGCTTTTATATCTTTTATATGTCCAAATACCATCTGTCATTTAAAAAAAGAGCCCACACTGGAAATCTGATATAGACAATATTACATTTACATGGAAATAGTTTGAGAATAATAATAGTAGTAATTTTAAAGAGAGGGAATAGAAAGCATCATTATTATGAAGAATAGCAAGGAAACCAGTTCTAGAAGTACCTAGAATTAGCTATATCATGCAAAAACCTGCATGCAACATTTAGACAATCCTCAGAATGGCTAACAATATAACAGAAATTGTGAATTCACTTCACTTTGAATGATGACTTTTAATACTAATAATCAATACTTTGGGCTGTTTTAGTAGTTCTAGAAGTATTTCTGTACTAAGAATGTTGCCAGAATTTTCAGATGTGTTGATTATAAGTGGAATTTTCCTTTCTCTTAACATCTGGGGCACATTTTTTGACTTAATGTATCTTTTTACTCAGAATTAAGATGTGAAGAGCATCATGATAAAGTACATCGTACAAGTGTGATAGTCAAGTTCAGTCTATAACATACTTACGTTAGCCCTGGCTAAAGACGACACCAAGAAATTACTTTTTTCCTTTTTGCAATTTAAAAACAACAGCAGCTAAAGGAATGCTAAACACTGCCTACCCAGCTCTGACAAGAGATGCTTTTTTATAAAACGTGCTCTATATCTGCTTTTTGATACCTCGCTATAGAGAAGGCTTTTCTCTTTGCTCTAGATCTGTTAATCTTTAATAGGCGTTGTATCGTCTATCTATGGGTGGCAACTTAGTTTTAAAAGGGTTAGATTATTAAATCTGAATTTACTGTTATCTCGCACATGGTGAAACTAGTCAATAAATGTAAAATCATTTAGCCGAAGGTCAACAAGAAAAAAAAGTCTGCAAAAGTTGTAGTTTTAATTTCTCAGTCACCCTCAATTACATCATTGAGTGGTTGATTCTTAGGTTCAGTGTTAATGACGTACATCTGATTTTTTTCCAGAATTTCAAGATGCATTTCCAAATTGTCACTTTGATTTATTAAAAATTAAGCCTTTTCCAAAATTCGTCCTAATTTTAAATACCCCAAAAGCAATTTCATACTTCAGGTTTGTGCACTAGTTGTATATATTTAATGAATATTTGGAAAGATGTCTAGCCCTGGGCTTTTAATTGCCTTTTAAAGACTGAAAACTGGAAGCCTGCCAGCCTCCTGGACCTTGGCACGGATCCGGGAGGTGAAGATCAGCGCTTTCTCTGGCGCTGAAGGTGCTGGCCCAGGAAGAGGGGTGGAGGGAGTGGCAGTCGAGCTTGGTTTTCTGGGAACGTGCCAATGTACCCACTTCCTCATTCTTTTAGGGGCAGATGAGGTGACATTTCTCCTTCCCTTTTCCTGCCGAGTCCCTCTCCATTCCACGCTAGAGGAAACCCCTCTTCTGTGGGAGCACGGACTCCCCACCATTTTACTTCCAGTTCCCTCCTTGCCCAGTTTTGGCTGGAGGGATAGAAGATCCACTTTTTCTGAACATGCCTCCCACAAGCCCCAAGCTCAGGTTTCTCAGAAGTTTCTGTGTCGTCTCCGAGGGTGCGTGGCTGTCTGAGCCATGCCAGGTTCAAGGCCTCTTCTGCTCCTGTGTTCTTCAAGAATCCAGTAAAATTAGCTTTTCTGTCTCTAATACTCATCCTCATCATTCAAATTAGCAATGAACTGAGCTCAGGAAGTGCTTGAATGAGTACATGAACATACAGAAGGTGACTTTTGAAACTCCTCATTTTTAAAGAAATCTCTGAGCCCCATTAGAACTTGATTTTTCCATATGAGAACTGCTCTTTGAGGCTGTGGGCTTCCTCTTATTTTACCTCTCTTCAGAATCTACCTGCTGTCTTGACATCTCTCTGGCAGCTGCCTCAGTGAGACTCTACTTCCAACCTTTCTTTCGTGAGGGGCAGAGACATATCCAGAGGAATGCACAGACATGAGCTCTGAGGACTCTGACAGGCTTCAGTTGTCTGTCAGCAAGTGAGTTTCACTCAGTGAGGGTCATTGAAACTTAAAGTGGGTATGGACAAGAGAGCAGGGAGAGGGCACAATACCTCAATCTGGGAATTGGGAGTGTCTTTAAGGAACACATTCTATTCTAGGAGGTTCCTGTGGATTCCAGGGACTTGGCAAGGCCCCCAGTACTCCCCAACCACAATCAGACCAGAGACCCTGCTCTCAGGCTGTCATGGTATTCCAGCCTGCTTTGGCATGGCATGGTGATAAAAGGTAACATGCCGTGGAAGTATGGGTGACATCCTGGAGAGGTGACGGATGTGCATGTTTAAGGGTAAGATTTGTGGTTTGGACTTTGCAACCATGTTATAATGAGAGACTTGGGACTGGGTTAGAGTCACTTGTGCATGTATGGCAGCAACCCCTCTGGACTGTCAGTGCACAACTTTCTTTGGAGTGCTCCATTTTCAAGGCAGTCCTGCCCGGCTTCCCAGTGCTCCTGTGAAAGCTGTGGTTGAAACCCACGGAAAGCAGCTGCTTACCTGATTTTTCTTTCACATGAAACTTTGAAGCATATAGATCCTTGTTGGCCCAGATGCTATTAAGTAAAAATCCTTTTCTCATCTGGAGAGTATTTGAGAAAAATGCCCCACTTAGTCCTCTTTGCCCCACTCTCCTCCAGGTCCTGTTTCAGTGAATCTGGGTTGGGTCCCCAGAATCTGCACGTTTACCTTGAGTGCAGTGGACAGGGGGTGCTGGATGCCCCAGGCCACCCTATGGGGAGTGTTGGCCTATGGCTCTGCTACTTCCAGAGGGAATTTGAAATGGAGAATGTCAGTTTTTATTCACTGTGTATGTGCCTCAAAGATATACTACTATTGAAGTGTGTTATAGGTTGAATTGTGTCTCCCCAGAAAGATATGTTGAAGTCCTAACTCCTAGAATGTGACATTATTTGGGAATAGGATCTTTATAAAGATAATC